CGCGCCGGAAAAGGCTGCTAGGCGGGAAAAAGGCGGCGCAGGCGCTCCTCTACGTCACGGTTAGGGACGACGGGAGTTGCAGTCCGAAGCGCTCCCGCCGGTCGGAATGGGCGCTCTAGAGTCGCTCTGGGCCAGGAAAACCGAAGTGGCCGCTGGAGGGAAAATTATTTTCTGGGCTGCTGCCACCTGTCGGGCATCCGCATTTATGCAGCCCAGATCCTGCTTTATTAACCCTGATGTTGTCTTTGCTGGTCCCAAGCATAGTCAAGTCCTTCCTGAGCGCCAGTCCTGCCGCTGAAAAACAGCAATTCTGGGCTTTGGCTCCGCTGACCTCTCAAAAATGGGGGGGGGGAACAGTTGCTAGCCCACCCACAAGATATTCAAGAATCCCTATGGTGTCTTGGGTGGACCATCTGAATGGTCCTATGTCTGAAAAGGAAATATGTGGCAGTCAATAGCCTAGCTCTGGAGCAGGGGTCCCCAACCTATGGTCCACACCCGGGACTGGACCATGGGCTCTTGGCCAGCAGGCTGCGGAAACGGCTGGTGGTGCCCATGCATGGGTGTGCATCCCCCCCCCACTAGTGCCTGCAGCCGTTTGTGCATGTGCACGAACGGGAATGCTAGCTTGGGACAGGTGTCCATAGCCCGTTTGCACATGTGCTGCTAGCCTGGGCAGTTTGCGTGGCCCATTTGCGCATGCGCAAGGGGCCAGCGCATGCCGCATGCACAAATGGACTGCTAGTGCAGCGCCAGTGTGTGTGTGGCCCTGTGCATGCACACCAATTTTGAAGTTGCTCTCCTTTCCTCCAGTCCTCGAGCCTGGAAAGGTTTGAGACCTCTGGCCTAGAGGCAACCTCTTAAGTATGAGACAGCCATGTGCTGCAGCTGCCAAAAAAGCCAACACAATCCTAGGCTGCATTAAGAGAGGGATAGAATCAAGATCACGTGAAGGGTTAATACCACTTTATAAGGCCTTGGTAAGGCCACACTTGGAATACTGCATCCGTGATATAAAAAAGATGTTGAGATTCTAGAAAGTTTACAGAGAGGAACAATAAGGATAATCAGACAAATAGAGGCTAAAACATGGCAGGATAGTTGCAGGAACCAGCTATGTCTAGCATCATGAAAAATCATGTCTAGGGGTGACATGAAGGTCTTCCAAAAATAAGGTGGTGCCACAAAGAAGAGGAAGTCAGCCTATTCTCCAACGTACCTGATGGCAGGACAAGAAGCAAAGGAATGAAGTTCATCAAGGAGAGATTCAACCTAGAGTTCCTGTCAGGAGAAATTTCCTGACAGGATCTCCTGACAGCGAGAACAATTAATCAATGGAACGGCTTGCCTCCAGAAGTTGTGGCTGCTCCATCACTGGAAGTTTTTAAAATGAGATTGGGCAACCAGTTGTCTGAAATGGTATTATAGGGTCTTTTGCTTAAGCAGAGGTTGCACTGGAAGACATTCAACTCTGTGGCTCTGTTCTGTTACTTGATTATCTGGAGCAGGAAAGTGATCTGTTCACCTCAAATGGCAGATTTCACACCCAGATCACCAAGCAACTGTTTGGAGGCAGATCTAACCCTTTGTGAGTCAGAGCCAAGATAACTGGGACAAAGCGATAGTCATTATAGAAATCATGAGCTTCTGAGCTGTATTAGACCTAGGTTTGTTTACCTAAAAGTTGAACTCCCCATACCCACTTTTGAATGGTCTCCTTCAACAAGTTGGCAATCAAGTATACATATTATCATTTTAGTATCATAGTTTGTTGTTGTTAGTTGCAAAGTCGTGTCCGACCCATCGCGATCCCATGGACAACGTTCCTCCAGGCCTTCCTGTCCTCTACCATCTTCTGGAGTCCATTTAAGCTCATGCTTACTGCTTCAGTGACTCCATCCAGCCACCTCATTCTCTGTCGTCCCCTTCTTCTATTGCCCTCCATCTTTCCCAGCATTAGGCTCTTATGTTGGAAGTTTAATTGGCTACCTGTATTATTGCATTGATTCCTTTTCGATTGAGTGTTATAGAAAGACAGTGTTGGGGCGGCTGATGGGATAGAGAGAAGATCCCCACCGCCATGTTGCCCATCCTCTTGGTTTTTAGCTTTCTATTTAAGATTTTTAATTTTCATAGTTTTGTATTATCTTTTTTACCTTTTTATTATATCCTAATATTATATTGCTTTTTCAGTGACGTGGGCAGCATAAAAATTGAATTAATAAATGAATAGAATTCATGAACTTCTGCACAAAAGTAGGGGTGCAAGGGTCTGAGCAAATTACGGAATCACTGAAGAAGGGAAGTTTTGCCCAAGAACCTAGAGATTAGACTAGACTCAAGCTATATTTGGCAAGGGAATCACCAAATAAACAGACAGAGGAATATTTAAATAAGATGAATTGTGGGAGAAGAGCAATAGAATGAACAAAGGTTATTTTATTTAGCATCATGGACTATGGTAAGAGTTTTGATGCTACAGAATATGCCAACGTGGGACAATTAAAGGCTAATGGATGTGCCAGAATGAATTGTGTGCTTTCCTTTGAGAAAACTGTACGGTGGACACTACTTAATCAAAGCTGGAGAAACTGAAGCGGTTTGGAATAAGGAAATAAGGAAGACGAAGGTGCATCCTATCACCATATTGAACTTCTAGGGCAGATACCGTATATTATAAAAACCACAGGACTGAAAGAAATGGCACCTAGAATTAAACTCAGATGCTAAAACCGTTATAACTTGAGCTATCCAGATGACATGATTTTGTTAGCTAAAAATAACGGTGAAAGTCATTAGGAAAGTGAAAATGAAAAATATGGTTTAATGTTAAATATTAAAAAGACATGAGTAATGACAACCTGCATGTTTGGAGAATTTCCAGTTGAGGCTAAAGAAGATAGTAGCTTTGTTTTCTGGGCTCAAAGTGAGCATTACGTTGGAAATGTGAAGATTAATTCTAGGAAGCAAATGACAAAGCGAGGCAGGATCATTCCTGTTAAGGATATTTTAATAATTATTAAGATCTGAGCAAAAGCTCGGTTTCTCCAATATTATACTCGGTTTCTCCAATATTATACTCTGAAAAAAAAAGCTCGGTTTCTCCAATATTATACTCTGAAAGATGGAAACTGAGAAAGAATGAGAGAAAGAAGACGGACCCTTTCAGATTATGGACTTGGAGATAACCCACAGGTTGCAAGAATCAGTCAGCCACGGATTTAAAAGCTTAACTGCTCAATTGTGACTCTAATTATCAAATAGAACTAGACTCATACTTTGGGCATAGAATGCAACTGGATGCTGGAGTAGAAAAAAAAGTGATTCTGCTTAGCACGGTTAAGGCACTAGAAAGGGATTCTGTTGTTCAGTCGCTAGGTTGTGTCCGACTCTTTGTGACCCCCATGGATTATAACATGCCAGTCCCCCGTCCTCCAGAGTCACCCAGTGTTTGCCCAAATTCATGTTCATTGCGTCAATGACACCATCTAACCATCTCCTCCTTTGCCTTCCCCTTCTCCTTTCGCCTTCCATCTTTCCCAGCATCAGGGTCTTTTCCAAGGAGTCCTCTCCCTTATTTGGTGACCGAAGTATCTGAGCTTCAGCTTCAAAATAACAGAGTTGGAAGGGACCTTATAGGTCATCTAGTCCAACCCCCTGCTCAAGCGGGAGACCCTACCCCCCATTTCAGACAAGTGGCTGTCCAGTCTCTTCTTGAAAGCCTCCATAGAGGGTTGATTTCCTTTGGGATAGGGAGGGATGGAAAGACTCCCAGAGGCTGTATCTGGAGAAGGTGCCAGGCATTCATTAAAATCAATCGGGATATAGTAATCGGTCGTCCAGGTTTTTGTTTCTGCGAGTCTTCCTGGGCTGTACGTTTCCTGTTTTTTTTTTTTAAAAGAACATTAGTGTGTGAAAACGTTGAAGGACCAAAGGCACAAGGGCATATTAGGACATGGATTAATGGACAACCGATGACTCATTTTCCTCCTTCTCTCATCAGACATCAGCAGCCAGCAGGAAACCACTAGTCTTAAAGCTGTGTTTCTCAACCGTGGCAACCTGAAGGCATGAGGACTTCAAGGGCTGGCTTCGTCTCCTGCTTCAGGGTTCAAACAGCCGTAGCCTGCTGCGGGTTAACGGCTATTTGGGCAGCAGGCAGAAGAGCTCT